CACCTCCAGCCAGTCTTGCTCAGGGCCTTTCCCTAACTGCTCCATGTAATTCCTGCCTCAGGACCCCGGTACTTGGAGTTCTTTTTGCTTGGAATTAATTATTCCCAGATAGTTGCTCAACTCTCCCTTTCTTTTTTAGGTCTTAACTCAAATGGCCTTCCTTAATTGCCTTAACACTACAACTCAACCCTACCTCTGCACTTCTTTTTCCCTTTCACTCTATATTTTCAAAAGCCATGATTACCTTCTAACATATTAATAGGTTCTAATATATAATATTATAAAATATACTACTTGTTTCCCAAAGTGTTGCTTGTCTGTTATTTGTTTCCCTACTTCATTAGGGCATATATATATATATAATTTGGAGACAGAGTCTTGCTCTATCCCCCAGGCTGGAGTGCAGTGGTGTGATCTTGGCTCACTGCAACCTCCACCTCCCGGGTTCAAGCGATTCTCTTGCCTCAGCCTCTCCAGTAGCTGGGATTACAGGTACCTGCTACCACCCCCGACTAATTTTTGTATTTTTAGTAGAGACAGGGTTTCACCATGTTGGCCAGGCTGGTCTTGAACTCCTGACCTTGGGTGATCTGCCCCTCCATGGTCTCCCAAAGTGCTGGGATTACAGGCATGAGCCACTGCTCCCAGCCTCCTCATTTCTTTTACACATACACAGACACACACACACAGACACTTTTTTTTTTTTTTTTTTAAATGAGACAGCGTCTTGCTCCATCACTCAGGCTGGAGTGCAGTGGTGTGATCATGGTTCACTGAAGCCTCAACCTCCCAGATTTAAGTGATCCTCTCACCTCAGCCTCTTGAGTATCTGGGACAACAGGCATGTGCCATTATGCCCGGGTAACTTTTTTGATTTTTCTGTAGAGACAAGGCCTCACTATGTTGTTACACAGGCTGGTCTTTAACTCCTGGGCTCAAGTGATCTTCCTGCCTCAGCCTCCCAAAGTGCTGGGATTGCAGCTGTGAGCCACTGTCCCTGGCCAACTATCCTCATTTCTTAATTACTTCTTGCAGCAGAGCCTGAATTTATTTCAGAAACAGAAACTTTTTAAATTAAGAATATGGCAGGTTTTTAAGTAATTTTAATTAAATAGGAGTATTGTTTTCTTAGAACTTGTGTATAGTACATTCCTAAGCCAATCTTTAATGGAAATACTTTTTCTGACTTCCTGAACATATTTGGTTGTGATGAATTGACCTAGCTTAATAAGGAATAGGTCCATTTTGAGTCAGTGAACTAAGACTTTATGGCATCTGATTTCATATGTGTACAGTAGGACAATTGTGTGAAATATCAATGTATTTCCTGTTCCCAGTAATTCCTTCATTAGAACTAAAACAGGAGGGCAAGGCATTCTTATCTTCAGAGATGATCATTAGAGTAGAAAAATAGTCAAAGAGGACAAGTTCTAGCTTTTGGTTTTAAAAACCATACACTTAAAATTTCAGGCAGAGACAATGGCTTTAAAGAGAAAAAGGCTTTGAAATATCAGAACCTGGACTGAAAGGCTGAGAGCATAAAATATTTATTTGTATGAAGAACAGACATAGAAGAATACTGTAATTAGTCAGAGGTAGTCCCTCCCACACCCCCAGGCCCCAGCAATTTGATTTCACTCTGGTGTGGGAGGAGGAGAGCCAGTGGAGAAGAAGAAGGGGTCTCTGGTCTCTTTCTTCTAATGCAGAGGGGTGGGACATAGAACCCCCAGAAAAACTTGAGACTATGAGATAAGAGGTGATCTGATTCTCCTTCCCATGTGGAGCTTGGGAAATGGCAGACCTCATAAAATTCCTCTGCCCTTAACTTGAAGTGGGTATTGAGTAGAAATGGCTGCAAATGTGTCCTGTTTCATGCTCCACACAGAAGAGCAGCCAAATGTTTTCTGTGCCCCTCAAGAGACACAAGGTAGGAGACAGCTGAGAGCCTGAAGAGACCTCAAGATTGGGATGAGAAGTCTGTATCTATTATTTGAATGGTCTGTACAAAGGGATACCAGATGAGAATGCAAGTGTCAACAGGGATTAATGATGATGACTGAGGACCAGATGTCCTTCCTTCTTCTCCAGTCCCAGTTGCTGGCTTTGGCTCTATATACCTCTCAAAACTGGGGAGGGGTTTGTGAGAGGCCTTGACTAAACTGAGATCCCACTGAACTTACTGAGATTTAGTTTTAGTCATTCTTCGGGAAGGGGATGTGCGGAGTTAATAACCATCCACTGAAGATTTGATCACCCCTTCTAGAAGTGGTTGCTTGAAAGCAACTACCAGCCAGAGACATTCTCCAATTGCAAGTGTGTCATGTTCACTGTTAATTTAATAACTGGGAGTAAGGCCTTGGAGAACAAAGGGTCCTTGTGCCTTGGAGCAGAACTGGCATATCCAACATCACATTGATCCCTACAGTAAGATCTAAGAGGAGGAAGAAAAGCCCTAAGTGCATCCAACACCTACATGTTATGAAATTCAGCATTGAGACCTGTCAGCTTCCAATAAGCCCTCTAAAGATATGAGCCTGTGAATATAAAATTGCCCCCCCATTCTTTACTCTCTTTGGCTGTTTATTTTAGTAATTTTCGAACTTAAAACTATTATTTTTTAACAATGGAATCCTTTTTTTCCCAATAAAATCTTAGAGTTCTGGTATATAAAACAGAAAAATGTTGTGTTGTCTGGGTGTGGTGGCTCACACCTGTAATCCCAGAACTTTGGGAGGCTTAGGCAGGCAGATCACAAGGTCAGGAGTTTGAGATCAGCCTGGCCAATATGGTGAAACCTTGTCTCTCAAAAAAAAAAAAAAAAAGTTGTGTTGTATCGCTACACTTATTTTATGAGTTCAAATTTATAGCAATTACTTAATCAAAGACAATGAGAATTCAAAGATGATAAGATTTAGATAAATATAAAAATTTGAATTCTGGAATTATAGATGACTATTGCAGTCACATAGGTTTCAGCTTCCAATTTATTTATGCGTTTTCTTTTTGGTTGCCTGCTATAGAGAAAATCCTGATTCATAGATATGAGTACTTTGCAAAGGGTCATAGTTTTTGAAATAATTTACCTTGCAATCCCACACAACTCTTTATTTAAATTAAAATCATATCCTGAAAATGAGGCACTGAGAAATTTCTGTTTAAATATTGGTTCAGGAAAACTTATTTCCATGTAAAAACTTGAACATGGATGTTTATAGCAGCTTTAGTCCTAATAGCCAAAACTGGGAAGCAACCAAGATGTCTTTTAGTAGGTGCATGGAGACAACAATCACAACAACAAGTCTGGTGGATCCAGACTGTGGAATGTAATTCAGTGCTAAAAATAAATGAGCTGTTAAGTCATGAAAAGACATGAAGGAACTTTAAATGGATATTACAATGTGAAAGAAGCCAATCTGAAAAGGCTACATACTTTATGACTTTTGCTGGAAAAGGCAAAACAATGAAGGTGGTAAAATGAATAGTGGTTGCCAGGGATTGGGGGAAGGGAAGGATGAAAGTCAGAGCACAGAGGATTTTTAGGGCCATAAGACTAATCTGCAAAATACTAAAATGCATGATATATGTCATTATACATTTGTCAAAACCCATAGAATGTACACCACCAAGAGTAAACCCCAATGTAAATGACTGACTTTGGGTGATGATGTGTTCATGTAGGTTAACCAGTTGAAACAAATGTACCACTCTGGTGCAGAATGTTGACAGTGGGGGAGGTTGTGCATATGTGAGAACAGAGGATGTGTAGAAACTCCCTGTACTTTCCTCTCTGTGTGAACCCGAGTGTGCTAAAAAAGTTTATTAATATAAAAAATGTAAGACATTAAAAATCTGAAAAAATCGATTTACTAATAAGATATGATAACTGCTCAAATTCCTTATCACACATTTAAAAAAATCAAAGACATAGCAACCAAAACTTATGTTTAATCTTGATGCTATTTATTAGATAGTAGCAACCAAAATTTGTGGTTAATCCTGATACTATTTATAATGCAACGTTATTTTTGTATGACTAGTTACATGTTCACTTATTATCGTGCAATTGGCTATGGCACCATGAAAAGAACACGCATCAAGCAGATGATTCATAGCCTTGCCCAACACTTAATTGAGAACAGCACACATTTGTACTTCTTTGTATAATTTTATGTGAGTTATGTGCATAGGCTTAGATTAAAGAAAGATCATTCCACATCTGAATCTATTCTAGTAATAAACAGAAAAAAGAGAAAAAATAAGTGCAGAGCTACACTTTTTTTTCTAATCAAGGACATTTAAAGAAAATTGCACAGAGATGGCAGGAAAAGATTTATTCCAAGGTCTAATCAAAAGTGAGTCAATTCAACAGCACACATGTTAATGTGGTAGTAGCCTCTAGTACGTCAAAAACTGAAAAATAGAACAAATTTGGGTATGACCATTGTCTTGCATATTAACAGTTATTTAGAATACTTGTATTTTTAAATAAACTCAAATTAACTACTTGTGGAATGTGACAAACCTCCACTGGGGAAAAGTCAGATTCTTGTTTAATCAGGTTATATTATTCCAGAGTTTTTTCTAACATATGTTTGAACATATCTATTTTAACTCTGATACCCTCTTTCTCTCCCAGAATAATGAATCACACTCTCTTCCACAGCTGGCACAAATATGTCATTGTGTTCTTTTTTAGCTTTTTGTAATCATAATAGCATTTGATGTTTAGCTAATCCAGCTGAAGTTCATGGTAGCGTATGGTGTGATATATGGATCAAAGGCAATCTTTATTCAATTGAATGTTGTTGCTGTTCCACTGTTTATTAAAATGTGATTTCTTCTTTAATCTATTAATATTGGTTTGATATATATGTATTAAATTCTTACACTTTTAATTCATTTGCCAGTATCATGAATATGACTGATTTTGCAAAACAAAAATCCAATGGTTTATAGTTCAATAATTATTACCTCGCACATAAGTTCAAATCTGGTAGGAAGACTCTGACATTGTGATCTTCAAAAGATCCTTGTATTGTTCCACTCTATTCTTCACTAGTAATGTATGGAGTTCAATAGAGTCTTTTGGATAATTTAAAACACCAAATAACTGTGACTTAAGCCCAGATTTCCTATCAGCCCTGCTGCAGACTTAGCGGAATTTGAATCTTTGAGGATGGAGCCCAGCAATACGTATATTAAAGAAGATTTTTGGGCTGTTTCGTGGACGCCGGGTGAGCTTGAGCATCTGTGTGTGTTGGGCAGGAGGAAAGCGGGAAGACGCATCGGAGTGTGTGGATTTGAGCCTCTGCATTTTTTACCCTAGATCTCGAAATGCATCGTGATTCCTGTCCATTGGACTGTAAGGTTTATTTGGCAATCTTAGAAACAATGGCAAGACCGAATTGGAACGGACTTTTGGCTACTATGGACCACTCCGAAGTGTGTAGGTTGCTAGAAACCCTCCCTGCTTTGCTTTTGCTGAATTTGAAAACCCCCAAGATACAGCTGATGCTGTCCGAGAGCTAGATGGAAGAACACTATGTGGCTGCCGTGTAAGAGTGGAACTGTCGAATGGTGAAAAAAGAAGTAGAAATCGTGGCCCACCTCCCTTTTGGGGTCGTCGTCCTCGAGATTATTATCGTAGGAGGAGTCCTCCACCTCGTCGAAGATTTCTGAGAAGGAGAAGCTTCTCTCGCAGCCGGAGCAGGTCCCTTTCTAGAGATTGGAGAAGAGAGATCACTGTCCCGGGAGATAAATCACAAGCCGTCCCGATCCTTCTCTAGGTCTCGTAGCCGATCTAGGTCAAATGAAAGGAAATAGAAGACCAGTTTGCAAGAGAAGTGGTGTACAGGAAATTACTTCATTTGACAGGAGTGTGTACAGAAAATTCAAGTTTTGTTTGAGACTTCATAAGCTTGGTGCATTTTTAAGATGCTTTAGCTGTTCAAATTTGTTTGTCTTTTGAAACAGTGACACAAAGGTATAATTCTCTATGGTTTGAAATGGATCATATGAGGCATGTAATGCCAAGAATTGTTACTTTACAATGTTCCCTTAAGCAAAATTGAATTTGCTTTGAATTTTAGTTATGCATAGACTGATAATAAACCTCTAAACCTGCCCAGCAGAAGTGTGAATTTTTTTTTTTAAATACAGAAACAACTGGCAAAAATTGAACTAAGATTTACTTTTTCAGGATATAGGATGCAGCTATAGTTGAACAAGCAGTCTTTAAAAGTTGCTGTGAAACACAAGCCATCAGGTAAAAAACGCTGCACTATTAAATCAGAGGTTTTTGAAAAAGCCAACTCATGTTTATCCTGGGCAGAGGTTGCCTAGTTGGTATAGAATCTTAAGTTTCAAGAAAGTTTATCTTTGATTTAGGTCATAAGTTCCTTATTTAATTGCTGTATATGAATACATGGCTGTTCATGACATTATGGGCAAATTTGAGATTTCAAAAATGACCTGCCAGTTTAAGGGAACATTGTAGAGCCGACTGTGCAAGATTTTTTTTCATGCTGTCATTTGTAATATGTTTTGTGAGAATCCTTGGGATTAAAGTTTTGGTTACAAATTGTTGTTTAACTTGAAAGCCTGTTTTTCCTTGCAAACTCAAATCTGTGAGCTTGGTACCAAGCCCAGGTATACCATTCCGATTGGAAGCCATACTTATATTTTCTTGTAAAGTGCTTTTGAATCAATAAAATATTAGCATAATTGTGTAATAGTTTTTTAAATAAAAAGAAGAAGTTTTTTGTTTGTTTTTGAGACAGAGTCTTGCTCTGTCACCCAGGCTGGAGTGCAGTGGCAGGATCTCTGCTCACTACAACCTCCGCCTCTTGGGTTCAAGCAATTCTTCTGCCTCAGCCTCCTGAGTAGCTAGGATTACAGGCATACACCACCAGTCTTGGCTAATTTTTGTATTTTTTTTTTTTTTTTTTTAGTAGAGGTGGGATTTTACTATGTTGGCCAGGCTGGTCTTGAACTCCTGACCTTAAGTGATCTGCCCTCCTCGGCCTCCCAAAGTGCTGGGATACAGGCATGAGCCACCATTCCTGGTCATATTAAAGAAGTTCTTTTGTTTGTTCCAATTTGAGAGCTTCTACTTTAGGAATAAGATCATTTTATTGTATTTCTTTCCTCAAATCCCTGGCCAATCCCTCTGCTTTCCTTTATACTTTAATACTAGTCTTGGCTGGGTGCGGTGGTTCACACCTGTAATTCCAATACTATGGAAGGCCCAGGAGAGGGGATTGCTTAAGGCCAGGAGTTTGAGACCAGCCTGGGCAATATAGCAAGACCCCTATGTCTAGATATATATGTATATATATATGCATGCCAGGCATGATGGTATGTTTTCTTCTAGACTTTCTGTAGTTCTAGCTTAAGCATTTAGGTCTATGATTGATTTCAAATAAAGTTTTGTGAATGGTGTGAAGTAAAGATCAAGGCTCGTTTTTTTCCCTATATGAATATCCAGTTGCTCCAGAAACATCAACGCCCAAATGGCTGGGGCCTGCCTTGACTCTGCTGATAAAAAGAACCCCTGAAGATATGGCTAATGTTTCCACTTGTTCTAAATCTTTCCATTCAATAACCTTGACCTATTGAACTTTCCAGAAACTAAGGGATATCAAAGGCCAAAAGCTGATGAGCTGTCCAGAAACTAAGGGATACTCAGAGGCCAAAAACAAAGTGAGATCTGCAACCCAGAGACTTAACAGCATTGACATTTTAGGCTTTTGCTATGAGGGAATTTGCCAGGCTGGCAAACACCTCGCAGTGTTGCTGATGCCCAAGGGCTTGGCCTACGATAGGACGCTTGTGGGAGGAAATGTCCCTAACCGGCCTCTTCCTTCAGCCCCTCTGCCCTGGTCCCAAATCTTCTAGGGCCTTGCTCCTCAAAGTGTGACCTGCAGAGTTCAGCAGCATAGGCTTTACCTGGAAATCTGTTAGAGAAATAGAATCTCAGACCCTACCTCAGACTCACTGAATCCTTATCTACACTTTTAGATGACTCATGAGCACATTAAAGTTTGAGAAGCACCCATCTCAGGAGCTGGCAGAAATTTCAATGGTCAGCTTCACAAATGTCCACCAGGTGGCAGGTTTGCAGCAGGCACAGGTAGCTAGAGCTGCAATCAGCCACCCGTCTATAAGTGGCACTGGAAGTTGGAACAATTGCTCATGAAATGTGGAGGGAATGAATGGAGGAGCGACCCCAGAATGGAGGAGGAGACCCCTAATCAAAGAGTGGCGCAGGGTGGGGTGTGAGCCATGAGCTCCTCCTCTCTGGGTATTCCCCAGTTGTATTGAGAGGGATGGGCAGACAAAGAAATCAAGGCCCAAAGAGGCAAAGAGACTTAGCCAAGGGCTCAGCAGTGGGAAATAGTGTTAGGGCCGGAACTGGAAGGCAGGTGTCAGGCTGCGTGGCCTGCGCTGAGAGCCCTCTACGGCCTATGCTGACCTGAGCGGTTGCCTCTCCACTCCCTCCCCTTGGTTGCTCTTTGAACAGCTATCTTGTTTTCTCTGGGAGTGCTAGAAGCTGCTGTTATAATAATTCGATTTGGATGGCCAATGGTCTTTCCACGTGATATAGTTTGGATATTTGTCCTCACCCAAATCTCATGTTGAATTGTAATCCCCAGTATTGCAGCTAGGGCCTGGTGGGAGGAGTCTGGATTATGGGGCAGATCCCTCATGGCTTGGTGCTGTCTTTGTGATAGTGAGTTCTCCCGAGATTCAGTTGTTATAAAGCGTGGCACCTCCTGCCTGCTCTTTCTTTTTCTCTTTCTTTGTCTTGCTCCTGCTTTGTCCATGTGAAATGCCTACTCCCACTTCACCTTCTGCCATGAGTAAAAGCTCCCTGAGGGCTCTCCAGAAGCCAAGCAGATGCTGGAGCTGTGCTTGTATAGCCTGCAGAACCATGAGCCAATTAAACTTCTTTTCTTTATAAATTATCCAGTCTCAGGTATTTCTTTATAGCAGTGCAAGAACCGCATCATACACCACAATACTCAGGGTCCTGTGGCCAGAATCACTGCCTTGGAAGACCAGCTTTGAAAGGACCTCAAAGCCATGCAGCCTAAAACTAGCTTCCAGCAGGGGAGAGAGTCAGCTGAGGGCCACAGAGGGGCTCCGATGACAGCCCACTGCCCCACCCACTGCCATGTCCCAGTTCATTTGGGTTTTTTGTTTGCTTCTTCATCACTTTGTTTCTTTGGTTCCAATTATGCTGACTTTCATAAAGGATTTGTGGTAACCCAAAAATATATTCAAGGCCAAAAAATTAAAAATAGATAGGTGAGGAAATGGGGCAACGGAAAATTAAAAGTAGAAATGTTGAGGCACTTTCCTTCTAGGTTCTTCAATGGATGCTTCCATGACCTGTGACACAACAGGGGACACTTGGTTTACTTGTTCATTCTAGTCCCATGGTTCATGGCCTGGACCTTGGGAAAGAACGTCCCTTCCTCTGAGTTATCATTTCCCCATGAGCACAATGAGGTGCTTAAAGAGCATATGTTCTGGCCACCTAGGATTCTGACAGTCACTCGGTTAGGGGTTTCTGAAATACCAGGTTTCTCACAGCAGCCTTCCTGTGCTTGTTCCTCAGGATGTATATAGATGATGGTGTTCAGCATGGGGGTCACCACTCTGTAGAAGATGGAGATGAGTTTGTCTGCAAAATCGTGCTTGTCTTCCCTCAGTGGACCCATAGACTTGGGCTTTCCATATGTGAAGAGGATGGTCCTGTGGAGGACGATCATGACTGTGAGGTGGGCAGAGCAGGTGGAGAAGGCCTTTTGCCTGATCACATTGATAGAGATATCAGCACAGGGAAACTTCAGGACAGCCAGGACCTCACAGGTCAAGTGGTTGATCATTTTTGTCCGCATAGAAGAGCAGGCGACTGCTCACGTTTAGTCTCTTCCCTTCTCTTAGGGCAGAAGGGCCAAGAACTCCTCTGGTCTGGTGACACCAGCCAGGAATCAGTCCCAGATACCCTGTAACTCTAGTACCAAGATCTTGAACTTTTACTGACCTTTAAGTAAATTTCACTTCACTAGCGAGCCTCTATGACTGCATAGCAAGGGGCTTCCTGCACATTTTGGCCAAGTTGAACATCAGTTCTCTCTGAACCTCCTTCCTCCCCATTCCCCATCAGCTCTCACGAAAGACACTGACTTGCTTCTGAGGCTGGTCCTGAGATTTCCCTTGTTTTTTTTCAGGGAATTTAAAATCTCTCTTTGGGCTTCGAGGTGCTCACATGTGATTTGTCCTGGGTCATCAGAAGCTTGTTGACAATCCAGGGGTTTTGCAGTTGGCTTTACCCTGTGCCTAAAAACCGTACAAACTCTCTAGAAATCTATCTCTTCCGAGCTCTGCTTTGTGATCTCACTCCTTCCCAGGTTGCTACGCGAGCACTTCCTGCAAAGAGCTCTGAGAATCTCCTGCCCCTGCGTGAGCACACAGTGTGCTGTGGCCATTTGGCTCAAGCCGACAGATGGCTACTGAGCACACCTTCTGTACCAGGCATGATTCTCAGTGCTAGGGACTCAGAGAAGAAAATCAAAGTTTCTACTTTAAAGAGCTCCATATTTAGAAGAAGACAGACATGCTAAGAAATCAAGGCAAGGAGGCTAGGCACGGTGGCTCACGCCTGTAATCCCAGCACTTTGGGAGGCTGAGGCAGGCAGATCACCTGAGGTGGGGAGTTTGAGACCAGCCTGACCAATATGGAGAAACCCCATCTCTATTAAAAATAATAATAATAATTTTTAAAAAAGAAATCAGTGCAAGGGCTGTAACAGCAACAACAGCAGTTGTTGAAGCAGTGATAGGAGCTATTATCTATTGAGTACAAATTTTACACCAGGAGGCCAGACACAGTGACTCACCTCTATAATCCTTGCACTTTGGGAGGCCGAGGCAGGTGGATTGCTTGAGCTCAGGAGTTCAAAACCAGCTTGGCCAACACAGCGAGACCCTATCTCTACAAAAAAAAACTTTTTTAATTAGCTGGGTTTGGTGGCATGCACCTATAGTCCCCGCTATAATCAAGCAGCTTAGCAGCTAAGCTTCAAACTGCATTTTAAAACTCTTTTTCCTTTCCCCTTTCCTCCTCCTCCTGCCCGCAGTCGCAAGATATAACTTTGACACAAACTCTGCATGTGTTACCTTTCATCTTGAAATACAGCCTTGGAATGGGCTGTGAATCTCCACTCCCTTTCTTTTCCCATTCTGTCCTCCCATGCCTTACGCACATTTATTTACCTAGATGCTTGTTATGCACACACTACGCTCACGTATCTGGTCATATGTTTCCTTTGAAGCTTCAGGGTTTAGATCCTGATAGGAACCAGACACCTTCAGAATTCTCTCTCCAGCAAAAGGTTACCTCAGGGCTGGAACCCACTCTCAGCTGAAGAGTGACCACAAGATTGACTGTGATTAATTTAATTTATAACCTGGTAGGATCCACAATGGCACCTGCCCCTTCACCAGATGGAACAGTAATTCAAGATGAGCCATCGGAGTAAGTCACAGCACCTGGCACCTCCTAGCCCCCCTTGCCTCTTTCACATTCCAAAATGCTTTCTTTTTCTTTTTTCTTTTTTTTTTTTTTTGAGATAGAGTATCGTTCTGTCACCCAGGCTGGAGTGTAGTGGAACAATCTTGGCTCACTGCAACCTCCACCTCCTGACCAATTCCCTGCCTCAGCCTTCCGAGTAGCTGGGATTACAGGTGCGCATCACCATGCCAGGCTAATTTTTTGTATTTTAGTAGAGATGGAGTTTCACCATCTTGGCCAGGCTGGTCTTGAACACCTGACCTCATGATCCACCTGCCTCGGCCTCCCAAAGTGCTGGATTACAGGCATGAGCCACTGCGTCTGGCCCCTAAAATGCTTTCTTTAAAAACCCCTGCATTCCCCCGACAAATTGAAGAGTGGAATTGCCGTCTACACTTCCCCTTGTTGGCATGGATAATAAAAGAGTACTGCTTATCCTTATCATAACATGTTATTATTTTAACTTCTTTCCACAAGCAGCAAGCAACCAGATCCTTTTGCCAGTTCCACAGCAACTCAGAAGGCTGAGGTGGGAGGATTGCTTGAGCTCAGGAGGCTGAGGATGCAGTGAGCCATTATCACACCTCTGTACTCCAGAATGGGTGAGAGAGCAAGACCTCATCTCAAAAAAATAAAAAAATAAAAATTATGTAGTAGGCACCTTATCTATTGTCATTCTCACAACATCCTCAGAAGGAAAGAGCTATCACCTTGTTCTCAGATGAAGAGAAATTACAATAAAATCCAAAACACATGTCTAAGGAATGGAGGCAGATATTCTTAATCCACTGGTAAGCCTTTAAGTTGGACCTGAGGCCCAGCCCTATAGCTACTCTGTTATCCTCTCTGCTTTTAAATGTAAAGGCCAGGCTAAAAGACTGAATGTCCAACTACCCTTGACATCTTCCATACACAGGTCAGGATCTGTAGCGGCTCTTTCTGGGCCACATGTCTTCAAAGTCAGGTTCCTCTCTGACCCAGGGCTGGATGTCTTGATTCCTCTTGAGCAGCTTCTCTTCTGCCCTAGGAAGGAAGCCATTTGGTTTATTCCACAAATTTAATCACGGTTCAAACCTTCACAACAAACCTTTATTCTTACAACCTCTCTTGTTGTAAGAATAAAGATGAGGAATACTTCTATTTTGGGATCACTTGAGCCTAATTAATTTGATTTGGAAGTATTCATGTTTGGAATGTTTGCCAATGTTTTTCTTTCAGTGATCATGCAAAATAGTCACGGAAACAGTCACGGGATGGATGTCCTCTGGTTAATCAGTTTCCTAAAACACACCACCATACTGGCCATTCTTGAATTCTGGCTTTTGTTATGCTCATAGACAGTGGTACACCCAAGCTTGAAAGGGGCCTTAGGAACTAACCAGGGCAATTCCTATGCAAAGCATACAGGCCCTACTACTCCCTTGATCATGCCCCTTCAGGCTCAGCTGGAATACGAAAGCCCCTTGACTTACAATGGGGCAATGTCGTGATAAACCCATCATAAATGGAAAATGTTTTAAGTTTAAAATGTATTTAATACCCTTAACTTGCTGAACATTATAGCTTAACCTGGCCTACCTTAAATGTGCTCCAAACACTTACAGCAGTCTACAGTGGGCAAAATCATCTAGCACAAAGTCTATTTTATGTGAAAGTATTGAATATCTCATGTAATTTATTGACTGCTATACTGAAGGTGAAAAAAATGGTTGTATGGGTACTCAAAGTACAGTTTCTACTGAATGTGTATCACTTTTGCACCATTGTAAAGTTCAAAAATTGTAAGCCAGCTTTCTTCCAGCACCCTGTGATAAGAAGAGCTCTATGTAAGTAGGATACATTTGTTTAGAATTTATGTATACTTGGGTAATCCTAACCATTATTTTTCCAGAAGTAAATATCTTGGGGATGAGGAGAGCCATGAAACCTCCACTTTTCTTTCTGGGGTCTGGCTCTGTCGCCCAGTCTGGAATGCAGTGGCACAATCAGCTCATCACAGCCTTGAACTTCTGGGCTCAAGCGATCCTTCTGCCTCAGTCCCAAGTAGCTGGGACTATAGGTGTGCACCACTATACCTGGCTAACTTTTAAAAATGTTTTTGTAGAGATGGTGTGGGGAGTCTCCCTCTGTTGTCCATGCTGGTCTCAAACTGTTGGCCTGAAGAGATCCTCTTGCCTCACTCTCCCAAGGTGCTGGGATTACAGGTGTGAGCCACCTTGCCCAGCCAAGAACTCCATTTTTCTTCTGACACCCCCACCCCCACCCAGCTGGTTCCTATCCTGACCCATGCCAATTGCTTCTAATTATATTCAATTGCTCAAATGGTCAGTTGCTCCACTTATATAATCATCGGCTGCCTTTATTCCCTCCTGTCTTCAGACATGCCCCAGCATTTCAGACCTATCATTATGCATAAAAGGTGCCCACTCACTTTTGTACAAACAATATTGGTATTATTTCCTTCTGAGTATGTCTGGAACTAGAGTTTATGTTATTTGGTATCAGAGTAACAGAAATGTCTCATCTTGTGAAATAAGGCTTCTTTATTTTTTGCGTCTAAATTTATATTGTATCTATTCTATTTCCAAGGAGATGAGAGCGGGTGTATGCCAGGAATCACAATTTTTTCAAATTGCTCCTTGAAAGGGACTTCTTTAAAATTCATCAGGTCATCACAGCCCCCACAGAGGAATATGCTGCTGCTCTGCTGGCTACTACTTTAGAGAGGGTGTCTGGCAGCCAAGAGATCCTTCAGGACGCTTGGGATGGCTCCTGGGAACGTCGAACTGCCTTGGCAGAGTGTAGATGAAGGAGCCAAAAGACTCAAAGAATTTAGGATGCTAAATGGGCTTGTTAAATTAGACCTGCAGATGGATATGTCCCCCAGGAAGGCTAGAGGACACCCCCTTCACAAAGCTAATAAGGGACATTTTTGAGAAACTTGGCAGTGTTCATCCTCTGTCAGCTGATGCTGACTGTAGGAGGTGCTGTTTTAGAAGTAGGGTCCCTAGTGTTAGTGGAGATTATAAATTTCCAGAATAGTGGCGGCCCAGTGGCAGCACTTAACTATTAGGGGCAAGAAGATTAATTCCTGTAATAGACAGCAAGATCAGAATAGCAACCAGAGGGCCTGACCCGCAGGAATGTATGGTAATGAGTATTAAACTGTGATGTTCCTAGGAGCAAGACAGGTAGGCAATTTAGAAGGTTGTAAATGTATGTAATTAAAAAAAATCAAGCGTAGATGAGCAGAAGCCTGATGACAGCTTTCCTGTTGAAAAATTATGATCACTCACTCAATTCCAGACCTAAATTAATTCTCAGATCCAAAATACATCAATTGGAGGAGAGGCTGGTCTCTGAGGAAGAATCCTGCAATGCCCTTGCATGTATACACTAGTGATTTTCTCTGTATCTCCCTCCAGGGACTTGTGGCTATTTCCCTGAATGGCTGTACACTGGGGGAAATGAAATACTCCAATATTTTAAGGGCTGTTGGTTATAGAATCTTAACTGACACTAATACTAAGAAACCCAAAGGAGCATCACAGATCCCTTCTACTGTAGGAGTACATGGAAACTGAGTGATAAATGGGGTCTAGGCCCAAGTTTATTTCCTGATTGGACAAATGGTTTTTTATGGAACTAGTCACTGGTAGTCATTCTCCAGGTTCCCAAA